GTCCAAGATTTTGCTGCCTATGTTCTATGATTTTTATGGTTTGGGGTCTAATGTTTAAATCTTTAACCTATTTTGAATTTATTCTTGTGTGTAGTGTAAGAAGGTGATCTAATTTCATTTTCCTGCATGCATCTGTCCAATTTTCCCAATACCATTTATTGAATAAATTATCTCTAATCCATTGTATGTGCTCATTTCCTCTGTGGGATATTAAATGACTATAAAGGTGTGGGTTTATTTCTGGCATCTCTATTCTGTTCCGTGGATCTATGTGTCTGTTTTTATACAAGCACCATGCTCTTTTGATTACTATGGCGTAATAGTATAATTTGATATTAGGTAGCATGATTCCTCCAATTTTGTTCTCCTTTCTCAGAATCACTGTGCTATGCCGGGGCTTTTGTAGTTCCATATAAATTTTTGAAATGTTTATTCTAGTTCTGTGAAATATGTCATTGGAATTTTTATAGGAATTGCACTGAATCTATGGATTACTTTGGGTACTATGGACATTTTAGTGATGTTAATTCTTCCTATCCATGAACACGGTATGTGCTTCCACTTATTTGTATCTTCTTCAGTTTTTTTCTTCAGCATCTTGTAATTTCCAAGTACAGGTCTTTCACATCCTTGAGTAGGTTTATTCCTAGGTATTTTATCCTTTTGGAAGTAATTGTGAATGTGATTGTTTTTTTAATTTCACTTTCTGTTAGTTTGTTATTAGCATATAAAAATGCAACTGATTTCTGGATGTTAATTTCTTATCCTGCTATTTTGCTGAACCTTGCATTCCCAGAATAAATCCCACTTGTTTATGGTGCATGATCTTTTTGATGCATTGCCGCATTCAGTTTACTAATATTTTATTAAGGATTTTAGCATCTATGCTCATCAGGGATATTGGCCTATAATTTTCTTTCTTTGTAGCATCTTTATCTGGTTTTGGAATTAGGACAATACTGGCCTTGTAAGTTGTGGTAGTTTTGTCAGTTGTGGTAATTTGTCAGTTGTGGTAGTTTCTTGGTGGAATCTTTGGGGTTCTCTATGTACAGTACCATGTCATTTGCAAATAAAGACAAATAAAGACAGTTTTACTTCTTCCTTTCCAATTTGGATGCTTTGTATTTCTTCTTCTTGTCTGATCACTGTGTCTAGGACTTCCAGTACTGTGTTGAATAAGAGAGGTGAAAGCAGACATCCCTGTCTTGTTCCTGATCTTAAAGGGAATGCTTGTAGTTTTTGCCCATTGAGTAGGATGCTGGTAGTGGGTTTGTCATATATGGCCTTTATTATGTTTAGGTATGTTCCCTCTAATTCCACTTTGCTGAGAGTTTTTATCATAATTCAGTACTGGATTTTTTCGCATGCTTTTTCTACATCTATTGATATGATCATGTGGTTTTTATCCTTCATTTTGTTTATGTGATGAATCTCATTTATTGATTTGCAAATGTTGTACCAACCTTGCATTCCCAGAATAAATCCCACTTGTTTATGGTGCATGATCTTTTTGATGCATTGCCGCATTCAGTTTACTAATATTTTATTAAGGATTTTAGCATCTATGCTCATCAGGGATATTGGCCTATAATTTTCTTTCTTTGTAGCATCTTTATCTGGTTTTGGAATTAGGACAATACTGGCCTTGTAAAATGAGCTTGGGAGCCTTCTCTTCTCTTGAGTTTTATGAAAGAGTTTGAGAAGGAAAGATGTTAATTCTCAGAATGTTTGGCAAAATTCACCTGTGAAGCCATCCAGTTGAGGGATCTTGTTTGTTGGGCCTTTTTGGTTACTGCTTCAATTTCATTAGGTGTAATCTGTCTATTCAGATTCTCTGATTCTCCCTGATTTAGTTTTGAAGGGTTGTTGGGATTTATCTGTTTCATCCAGGTTATCCAGTTTGTTCGTATATAGTTATTCATAATATTTTCTTATAATCCTTTGTGTTTCTTTGGTGTCAGTTGTCATTTCTCTTCTTTCATTTCTGATTTTTATTTATTTGGCTCCTCTCTCTTTTTTTCTTGATGAATCCGGTTAAAGGTTTGTGAATCTTGTTCAACTTTTCAAAGATCCAGCTCTTGGGTTCATTGACTTTTGCATCTTCTTTTATGCTCTTTCATTTATTTCTGTTCTGATCTTTATTATTTCCTTCCTTCTACTCACTTGCGCTTTGTTTGCTATTTTTTTTCAGTTCTTTTGAATGTAAAGTTAGGTTGTTTATTTGAGCTTTTTCTTATTTTTGTGAGATAGGCCTGTAATGCTATGAATTTTCACTTAAGATTGCTTTCCCTGTGCCCAGCAGATTTTGGATAGTTGTGTTCTCATTTTCATTTGTTTCAGGTATCTTTTGATATCTTCCTTGATCTTGTTGTTGGCACGTTCATTGTTTAATAACATGTTATTTAGCTTTCATGTCTCCCTGTGTTTTTCCGTGTTCTTCTTGTGATTGATTTCTAGTTTCATGGTATTGTGGTCAGAGAAGGTGTGTGATATTATTTTAGTCTTCTTACATGTATTGAGATTTGTTTTGTGTCCTAATGTGTGGTCTATCCTAGAAAATGTACTATGTACTTGAAAGTATATTCTGCTGCTTTGGGCTGAAGTGCTCTGAAGATATCAACTGAACCCCTTTGATCTACTGTGTCCTTTAAAGCCACTGCCTTGTTGATTTTCTGTCCGGAAGGTCTATCCATCAAAGTCAGTGGGGTGTTAAAATCCACAACTATGACTATATTTCTGTTGTTGTCTCCCTTTATGCTCATCAAAATTTGCTTTACATATTTAGGTGCTCGTATGTTGGGTGTTGGGTATGTTAATATTTATTATCATCTTATTGGATTTTTCCATTTATCATTATGTAGTGTCCTTTGTCTATTAGTATAGCTTTGGTTTTAAAGTCTAGTCTGTCAGATATAAGTATCACTACCCCCATTTTTTTTTTCTTTCTGCTTGCACGAAACATCTCTTTCTGTCCCCGTGGAGAATTCTCTTGTTTCATTTGGGGTCTGTTTCTTTGTCTTCCCTTTTTGGCTACTTCTTTGTTTTGTTTCTATGTATTAAGTAGATCTGCAAAGTGTCTGGTACAGGCCTATGTCAAACATTGTGACTGGCCCTGGGCAACCTGTTTGGAACTACCAGTGATCCACTTGTGTGGCTCTCTCTGCTGGGCCTGTTTGTGTGCAGAAAGAACCAGGCTGCACGCCAAGGTGGCATTTACCAGCACAGTGCCTAGGGCAAGGTCAGCTAAAAAATCTCACAGCTCCCAGAGATCCACCTAAGTTGTTAAACCTAATCAATGATATAGTTTCAAGCGGTACTCAGCTCCACAGGGTGGAGAAGAGTAATTCCTGAAGGTGGGGCTCTTGCTTCCCCTCAGGCTCATGCCTCTTGGAGGGTAGTGCTCTGCCTGAGAAAGATGGCCTCTGCAGAATGGGGGATGACTCAGCACAAGGACCCTGATGGCTGTTCCTTCAGTTCTCTCCCCAGAACCACAAGCCCCAGACTCTCCTCATGCATCTCTAGTCCACTCTGCCCTCCCTCTTTCAGGGCCCAGGTAACTGACCGCAAACAAAATATTGTGCATTGGTCCTTTAACACGCTTCCTCAGTCTCCAGCCATTTCTCCCTGGTAGACAGAAGCCCTGATGTTTTCCACAGCTGTATATTATCTAGGTTCCTTTCCAGGCTTTGGTGCTATAGGCTGGGGAGCCTAGTTTGCAGTTTAGACCCCACACTTCTCAGGCCACTGAACTATCCCTCTGGAACTTCAGCTACCACCCGTGGGAGCCCAGTCAGTCCTCTCACACCTCCTCCACACTCCCTACCAGTCACATTGGTGAAGTGGTTTCTTCTGTCTGTCTGTGGTTATAAGGCTTCTCTCCAGCTAGTGTTCAGTTGGTTATTCAGGATGATTTCTCTATAATTTAGTTGGAATTCCAGATTGGTCCTGAGAGGATGTTAGTATAGCTTCCACTTACTCCTCTGCCATCTTGGGTCTGGCATAATTATCAAGAGATGCTATTGGATCTCTACATCCCTGTAGAATTACGTAAACATAATATAAAACACCTGTGGTTCTACCTTCACCTGCCAGAGGGTAGGGGCAAAGTCAGCTGAGCCCTGCAGGGCCTTACTTCAGTCCTCATTCTAATGATAATGTTTCACTCCACAGTAATAATTTTTAAATATAGCTCAGTACTAAGTTACATTTTTTCTGAGCTTTATGTAAGAAATGACAACTTTAAATTTGCTTCACTTAAAAATTCCCTTTAGTAATGTACATCAAAGTGACTGCATTGCATTGTATGCTTGAAATTTGCTAAGAGGGTAGATCTTAAGTGTTCACAAAAAAATAAAGAGAAAAAAATAACTATGTGAGGTGATGGATATATTAGTTAGCTTGACTATTGTGATTATTTCACAGTGCATGCACATATCAAAATATAAAGTTATATGCTTTAAATACAATTTGTATTTGTGAATTATGCTTCTAGAGGTCAAAAAAAATCCCTGTAAAGATTCTTTTCATTGAATTTGTCTCATAATAAATTATTGCATATTGCTTTGGTGACTATTTGTAACACTGTGTTTATTTCTGTACTTTATAGTTGCTATAAAATAATTATAATACGTCCTGTCATTTTTCTCTTTTAAAAAGTTATAACATTATCATCAAGAGGAAGTTTTTATATTTAAACCATTATGTTAATGAGTATTTTCTATTGATGAGAGGGTCCCTACCTATGTATGAGCCTGTTTGACATTCTTTGCTATTTTATCCTATCCAGGCCCTGTTTCCCCATCCAGGGGCAGTTAGAATGAAATGAGATAAAAATGTCATCTTTGTGAATGATTTCTCTTCCTTCTGAAAGTCATATGGAAAAATCCTTTTTTGCATTCCCATGTATTCTCCTTTTGTTTGTTTGTTTCTTAATCTTATTTCACGGCTCACTTTTCTTTTCTTCTTCTTCTCTCTCTCTCTTTTTTTTTTTTTTTTGGTAGAGCAAAACTTGCTTCCTGTTGCGATGCTGTCCAAAACTTCATTGTTTCTCAAAATAACACTCCAATTGGAACTAACATGAGTTATGAGGTGGAAAGTAAAAATGAAATCCTAATTAGAAAGACCATTTTTAATATGTTTCCAGTGGTGAGTAAAGATTTATTGTGGTTTATTTGTGTCATCTTTCCAGGTGAATTTTCTCTCACTTCAAGTTATAACTTATAATAATGGCAGAGTTAATGAATTAAAATACCATTCTCTGTTGTATAAGATGTATTGCAGTCCATTTTAAAAAGGTAATTTTGAATGCATGGTGGCTCTGCAGGGGATGGTATTTATATCTTAACTGATAAGCTCTCCTACTTCTTGAGTCTCCATGACTCATCCTTGAATGAGATGAGGTTCTTGGGCTTCCTGCACAGTAATTACTGGGGCTTGGGAGGATGACCATTTTTTACCTGGAATAAGATTGTTCCAATTACCAGTTTGGCTAATTGAGTCAATTCCTTCACAAAGAACTGTAGGTTTATGTGATTAATCTTTGGGAAGTAAATATATAAGAAATTTTGGTCAATAGACATAACCCCCATCCTGGGACACTTCCTAGTACCTATATGCACTCATCTCATATTTGTTAAATAAACTAGTGAGTAATGATTCAGTATTGTTACAAGAAGAAACATGTCCCTTAATAGAAATCCAAAGTCAGGGGAAATTTTTGTCATGCAGAACATTTTGTTGCTTAGAAACATACACTTTCACAAATCTTTTGTAATTGATTTGAATAAATGCAATTAGACCAAGTCGATATGGTCAAAATGGGATCACTTTCTATACATAATTTACCAACTGTAGACTATTAGATTCTTACAATTAATTTTTGTGAACTTTTGACTTCTTGCAACTAATTTATTTTTAGTCATGTAAGTTGCTCCAATTTTTAAAGAACATTACAACTCAAAGGAAGAATAATTTTCTGGGAAGGAATGAAAAACAGAGAACAATAGAAGAAAATATTACACATTTTCTGAAAGAAAAGGAGGGCAAAAAATAACTCACACATAGCATTCTAAAACACCCTCATGATGCATTGAAATGCCAGTAATAGGAAAGATAACTAAAAAATACTTTTACTCCCTATCAAGGACAGCTGTGGAGGGTTCCACAATGAGCAATTCTTTCACCCATGCAGTTTTTGCTAGTGTTTTTCTTGCTTTAGACTGACTAGAACAGAGGAGCAGCAGATATTTTTTTGCTTCTAATTGACACCTTGGAAAGAATACCTTACCAGAGGCTGGATAATTCTGTATGCAATTGACAACATTCACTTCCCAAATTTACACTGATTTTTTAAAATTAGGAGGAGAAAATTATGAAGTCAATCCAGTGATATTTGCAAAGCTAGGTAATGATTCTGTGTTGCTTCAACATTGCCAGTTCCATGGATGTGGCTTATGAGAGAGATGACCTCTTTCCCACCCTGCTTTCCTACATGCCCACCCGGCTCAGTTCCACTCTGCTGCACTCAGCTCAGATCTGCTGGCTACACAGCAAAAGGTCTCAATAGATGCTCTTGATTAAAAGTTGTGAAGCCAGTTTCTCCAAAAACTTTACTAGGTAAATTGCAAAGGAAGACAACAAAGTTGGTTTTCAACCAGACTGAGCAATGTGTGGACACTTGAAATGCACAAATTTACATTTTCTTACAAGGTTTATTTTAGGGAATTTTGATGTTTATAATTTATTTCAACTCTTACTGAACACTAAGATCCCAAAGCATATGGATGCATTTCCCCAGTTGACCAAAAAGCCACAGAAAAACATACATTATTTTGACTGCTTAATTAGAGATGTGCTTCCCTCAGTAATCTTTTCTATTGTGCCATAAAGAGCATATTTGCATTCTACCCTATCTATAAAATTCAGAATTCATTGTGATACTGGTTAGTAAGTACTGTCTGAAGATGTCTCGAGCTAGAAGTTTAGTGACTAGAATTTCCCTGAGGTATTTGAGAACCATTCATTTTATGAGCCAGGCAATCTGCTATGCACTGCAGATATAAAGAGAAATAAGGCAGGTACTTCACATTTTATGTGTTGAACATGAGGAGCTGCATAATGTGTGGAAATTAAGAGCATGGACTCTGGTGCAGATTGCCTGGGTTTGAGTCCCAGCTCTGCCACATTCTAGCTTTAACTCATGTCTCCAGCTTCCCATCTGTAAAATGCTTGTGAGGTTCCTTGTGTGGACTAAATGGCTTTATAAGTTATGTACTTGGTTACCTTGCATAATATAGACTATATGATTTTTAATTTTTAAAGACAAACCTAAAAGTGCTGAAATAGAGGTCTCTTTGCTTGTTAGGCATCTCCCATGTGCACCATCAGGAGCAGATGGTATCACAGTGATTCAGGGGTCTTCTGGGCTGCCCACAACCACATCGGCCCTGGGTATTGCTAATAGTGCTGGTAAACAGGCTTTGGAGAGTTGGGTGCCCCAGCTTGTAGCATTTGCCAATTTTAGCTATGTAAATTCCCCACCATGGCTGATTTCAATTTACCAATGGTTTAACAACCCCCTAACAAAATTCCTAAATATTTACCAGTTGACTCTTCCAACTCCTCCTGAGTGGGCTTCAGCACAATGCTGGGGCTGCACCAGCGTGGGACATTGAGCCAGCAAGCATTTATTTAATAGTCACTGCATACAATGCACTGTACTAGGTCTGCAGTGAAAGATGAGGAACAACTAAAAGTGCTAAAGTAAGTCCTCTCTGCCTTGAGGACTTACACTCCAATTGTAGAGAAAAAAAAATAGGTGAATCAGGACCCTGTCACTGTAGAATGTGAGCTGGCACCAACGTTGCTGGGGAAGGGCATGTCATTCCTTCGGGGAAAGTGACCAGCAAAAGAATAGTGTAGTGTTGAACAGAAGAGTTATGTTTCAAACTGGGGAGGAGTTGGTGCAAGTGGGAATCTTTCAGAATAGGCAAGTTGGGTCCTTGGAAAAAATTTAAAAGATTCAGGCCTGGGAAATTAATTTGAAATACGTCACCACAAAGTGAGTGGGCCTCCCTGAAATGCCATGGCTGGTCATTTGCGGAGACGGCAGGCATAAATCTATCATCACTGAGCCTGAAGGTCTAACTATTTAAGAAGCTTGGGAAAGTTTGCTAAATTAGCTGTTAATTTTAGTCCCTAGAATAGAGGATTTTATGGTACTTTCCAATTGCTCTTTTTTCTCTTTTTTGCTGAAAACATTCCTGTTGGTAAGGCACAATGTGGGATTTTGCCATTCTCATTTTATTTAATTAGGTGATGTAAACTGCATTATATTTTATATACAAATATATTATATTTTGTATTATTACATTATATTGTGTGTGATGTGCAGTGTATTTCTCTCCAGGAAATAACAGGTTTAGAAGATTTTTTTATTATGTCATGAGTTGATCAACATGGTATGGTATTGCTACTTCTCTTTTTCTTTCCTTAGCATGTGTAAAAGTTAGGGTACTTGAATTCAGCTAATGATGCTTATAGTTCTAAAACTAGAGACATCTCATGGTAGTTTTTCACTTTTTCCTGCTAGTCACAGCCTTTTGTGGAGCACCGCTACAATCAGTGTGCAGTGGTTGGAAACGGGGGGATTCTGAGTAAGTCTCTCTGGAGCCGAAATAGATAAATCCGACTTCGTTTTTAGGTAAGGCCTGTTCATCTGGTTTCTTTGAGCCAAAGACCAGCTGGATTTACAGGATTGGTGTAAAGACACTCTGTAAATTTTGACCTTTGAGCTGTGTCGTGTAAGTCTACAAATTATTTTGTTAGGCTTTCCTGCAGTGTTAAATGGACCGTTAGTTCCTCTGAATGTGAACATCAGAAGGAGAAAAATGCACTGTGATCATTTAATTTTCAGAAGCTCTGGGTGGAGTTGTGGCGAGAGAGGGTCTGCAGTACGTGCCGGGCTCACCAGAGCCTGCGGTGCACCGAGGGCAGCATGGCTCCCTGTGAGGACTCTACAAAGCAACATTGCCTGGGTTCACCTGGCCTTGAAAACTTTGCTTTTTAAGAGAGTATTTCAAGGAAATTTTTTTCTCAGATTATACTTGAGAGCTGCTGAACTAGGCACTACACAGCCATGCAGCATCACTGAAATTTAAAAAAAAATTGTGAGGCTTCTAAATTATGATCTTTTTAAATATTTATGTCTCCATACCAGCCAGCTTGGTAAAACAGAAACAAAAATGGTTTCCATGTGTACCTGTAGTCATGGTCTAGGGCATTTGCACTTTCAGAATTTGAAGAAAAGGTGATCCATCCCTGGGAGGATGGAGTTCAATTAAAATGCACCTTTTTAAGAAGTAAATTGAAATCTGTTTCCTCCTATTTCAGGAACACTGATTTCATACATCAGAGGAGATCCTTTGATCCTTATCTATTTAATGTTGTTCTTTTCAGCAAATAAAATTTTTTTGAATCAGTAGTTCCCCCCTCACTTTAATCTCATTTAAGATGTTTATGCTGAAGGCAATGACAGTAAAACAGACTATCAGCCCAACAATTATTGGATGTGTCCCTCATAATGAATGTCAAAATGGCCAATACCTGAATGATTTAGCCATTTGGTTAAAGTACTCAGTACTAAAAAGCCATCATCAAGGTAAATCATTCTTCTTTTAATGGACCTTTTATAAACTTAAAATTCCCAGAACATCTGTAGTAATATTCCTAAACATCCATTTTACTTTATGCAACTATGTGATATAGGAAATCCAACAAGTTTAGTTTAAAAAAATTTTAAATCTCACAAGCTATTTAATTTATAACTTTAAAATAAATGCATACATCTGTAGATTCTACATTTGCTGATGCCAGGTATCTTTCTGCATATAGAGTTCCCTTTGAAGTTTGCCTTTCAAAGTAAAAAGCAAAATGAGAGCTAGACATGATTGGTGTCATTAAATTTTATTTAATTTTTAAGCCTGTACCTATTTTGGCTGTACATGTTCATATTTTATAAAACAATGTGGAAAGTGCTTATTATTATTTTTTCCTTTCAAAAGATTGGGAGCTGTCAGTTAAGAGTGTAAGGAGCCAAAATAGGCAATGAGCATCTTTCCTATGCTACTGTATATCTACAACACCCAATATTTCCTTCTCCTTTGATACTATATGGAAATAACCTTTATTCTTCAGCAGAATATGGGACTGTGCTAGAATGTAGATCTGTTATTATAAGGCCACTAATGAGGGCATTTCTGGTCTATCATCTATGATTAGTATTTTCCCCAAAGTGCTATATTTAATTATTTTCAGATGTATGTTTTGTATCAAGGTAGTGTATATTTTATTTGTTTGTATGTTTAGTAGAACATGGAATAAAATATCAACTTCACTTATACTTCAGAACCCATGAACTTTAAGTGGTCTTCCTTAAGGAAATACTCAGGGATGCTCGTTTTGTATGTACATTTTCAAAGAATTGGTCTACTTGAAATTCTGTAAATGATAATTATGGAGTCATAACCAACTTTCCCTTTTTGCGTGACAGGAATATAATTGCTCAGAATTACAATCATTAACTTGTTTTCCAATTTGAAAACAAATCAGTACTCAAAAGAGAATGAAAACATCAATATAAAAACATCATTATATGAAGAACATAAGTGTTTTATTTATTAATAGCATAAATTGGTGGGAAAACTATCCATTAGGGAATCAGGAGATTTTTGCTTTTTCCATATGGTCTTTGCCATACAGAGCCTGGCAGACTCTGTAACCTTTGCCAGAATGCCTCAATGTTTAGAAATCTGTAAGTTGGTGATCATACCACTATAAGAATATAATCAGTATAAGTGATAATTTTAATAAGAGGAGTATGAACTCTTCAAAAGCTAGGCAAGCTTTGTCATTTCTAGTTTTATTACTTATAAGTCTAAATCAATGTTGAAACCACTTATCAAATTTGTATGTTTTGTGCAACATTGAACCTACTAGGAGTTCAGTACTTATTAAATAGTTTTAAATGGAAATCAGATGAATTCTGAGGAACTCTTAAACAGCAATGATTTTCTCAAAAAAATGACAATGATCACATGTGTATGTATGTATTTATGTGTATGTACTCTTCTTATAAGTTGTATTTTGAAAATAGTTTTCTTCCAAATTTCAGGTGTAACCTGCCCCCAACGACAGGAAATGTCAGTGAAGATGTTGGCAGTAAAACCAATCTTGTGACTGTAAATCCTAGTATCATAAGACTCAAGTAAGTGCATCCAACTCACACAGCAGTTCAGGAAACTCATTTGTTGTTCACCATGTTTCTTAGTCTGAGCACTCGATTATGTTGCTGAAGCTACTTGAAATACAGCTGGAATGACTCTTTGGGGAAAATATATCAGAATATATCTGTAATTTTTGAATTTCTATTAAGGTGTGGCTCATAAGAGGTATGACCAGTTGTACTTCTAATGATACAAGCTGAACATTGCTCATCAAATGAGAACTTACTGTCTCATCTTCTTTTACAATAGTGAAGTTGCTTTTTTCAATTTTCTTTCAGAATTTTAGTGTTACTCTTTTATCTTGGTAATGCCTTTTTAATAAAACCTAATCTATTTGGAGACTTCAGAGAGCAAGCCTTAGGAGAACCTAGCAAAATTTGATTTTCACTTTGGATAGTGCATTACTAAAGAATAATTGTCATGCTTCATATTCCATTATGTAATTGCAATGAAATGTTTGTTGGTTAATGAAAGTACTGTACATAGTCTTACTGTATTATTTTAATAAAAAGTCACTAATAGAATACACTCTTCAAGTAATTCTAGTATCCATTAAGAGAATATAAAATATCATATCTGCCTCCCAAACGTTTACTTTTAAAATTCACAAATTGTGTAGTTATTATTTAAACCAAAAATATAGAGAACCATCATAATACATGGAGGAAATTTAAAAAGTGTGTGTGTATGTATATATATTTTAAGTTTTCTAAAGGAAACTATTATGACCACACATGTACCAAAGGTGTACAAATCACAAGTCTATAGCTCAATGAATTCTTAAATGTACAGATATTTTAAGAGTGTCCTATGTTTGAGAAAACATTTCATCATTATAAACTTGGAAGGTGTTTCAGCACCAAAAAGCAAGCTTAGAAAAAAATTACTGAGTTTGAAGATCAAAGATGATAAAAAATGTATGTCCAGTCGGGGTATACCCAGTAAGAAAGTAGCAATGAGATTCTAGAAATACCAAGAAAGAGATGAAGGCCTAACCCTTGATATTTACAAGGTTTGAGTTTTCTCTGAATCTGTAGTTTTTCTTTTTCATATGCATGATTCAGTTTTTTTTGGCCAGTGGTAAACTCAGCCTTGTGTTTCCAAAACCACTACTTTGATTATTATTGTTATTATTATGCATATTTTTAATTGGCAGATACAGGAACTTAAAGGAAAAGAAAGCAGAATTTCTGGAGGACATTGCAACCTATGGAGATGCATTCCTTCTTCTGCCAGCGTTTTCCTTCAGGGCCAACACTGGTGCCTCTTTTAAAGTGTACAACACACTGAAAGAATCTAACGCAAGACAAAAGGTTATATATTTCCACCCCAGGTACCTGAAGAATCTCGCCCTCTTCTGGAGAACTAAAGGTTTGATTGAGTATCGCCTGTCCTCCGGCTTCATGATCGCAAGCGCAGCTGTGGAACTGTGTGAGAATGTGAAACTGTATGGGTTCTGGCCCTTCTCTAAGACGGTACAGGACACCCCTGTCAGCCATCACTACTACGACAACAACTTACCCAAACGTGGTTTCCATGAGATGCCCAAAGAATACAGCCAGATCCTCCAACTTCACATGAAAGGAATCCTCCAATTACAGTTTAACAAATGTGAAATAGCCTAAGCAAAATGACTTAAAAAGAGAGAATAGTTTTAATGTAATGCCATGGGTGAATGACAGCGTTTCTGAACACAAAAATTGGTGATGGTAGGGTATAATAGGAGCAGCCCCCAAAACTTAGTTTGATCAAAGCTCCCTACTAAGTATGGAACCTGGGCAACCCATTCAGTTGTTCTGATCTTCAATTTCCCTGACTGTAAAATGGGGACCAGGATACCTAACGCATATTAGGAAAATGTGAGCATCAGTGAAAACTCTTGGCAAAGTATTTGCCTGAGGCAGGGACTCAAAGTCTTTCTTTTTTTGATAATTTCGACCCTTACCAGACTGATAACAGAAAGTGTTCTCTCTTGGAAACCTTTCTGGAGAGAGCAGCTGAATTGCCAGCACTCACTGGGGGCCTTTCTCTGGCAGGGCTCTCAGAGTGCGCACCAGAAAATTAGGTACTTAAGCAGGAGCCCTGATTATTCAGGAATGACATCCTTCTCTCTGTATGGTAATGTGCCTGCTTTTGATTACATTCACTTGTGTCATTCCCTGCAATGACTTGTGTTGTTTAGATTTTAGGCCTATTCTTTTTCTCCTTTATCATTTAAAGGAGAAAACATTTTTAAATCACTTTTATATTGATTTCCTGCCTCACTCTTAAACCCTTTCCTCTCCCACTGACAGGGTCTATCTACTTCAAGGATATGAATGGTTACAGTATCCAGTTCTTCCTACTTGTTGACTTGTCTGTGGGCTCACTTACTCAACTTATTTTTTAAAACATCACGGAAGAGCTGCTTCCACCCTAATAAGCTCTGTGAGCGGGACACAAAGGGGACTGAGCCCTGCAGGAGGAAGCACTTTCACGGCTCACCGTGATATGGTGTGGTGCAGGTTCCTTCAGCAGTTATGAACAAAGCACTGTGTGGGAATAATTAAATCTACCTCAGCAGAATCTATATGAGAGAAGAGGTGATTTCTGAATTCGACCCAGCTGAGTTAGGTTTAATCAAATGGAGGTAACTCGAGGGAGAGGAACTATGACAGGGGAGCAAGCTGTCCACTGGCTTCTGATTCATCCAAACTAGTACATTGGAAGGTAGGTCACTGTCTTTGCCCCCAAAAACTGTCCCATGAGGGTAGGTTACAGAGTCTGAGGGTGCTAGCTGGGGCCACATCTGTGAAATGGGAATAATACCAACCTGACAGATTTCATAGGTAAGTTGTAAGGATTAAAACACGAAATCTTCTTTCTCATAAGGAAAGGTGTATTAGACATCAAACTAAAATGAAGCCTGAGTAGATATTGAATATCAGCACTTTCACCACACTCCCTTACATTATGCTGATACCTGTTAATACAGGTCAGCCCTGGAGTTGGCCGGGCTGGGTGGAAAAAGTGAGCGATAAAGCAAAACAAAAGCACACAAACAAAAACAAAAAGTTTGCCCCTGCATCTACTGAATAAGTTATTTGACTTAAGTAATTATGTGCATACTTTCCTGCTTGTCTTTGTACCATCACAAGGTGAGCAGAGAGATGAGTGGAATAGACTAGGCAGCATGCCAAATTAATTACAGCTCTTAATTCTAAATTCTTACTTTAGCCAGAATATTGTTTTACTAAATGTTCACTTGTGAGAACATTCTGCTGTAAATTGCTTATTTTGATAAAGTACATCTTTAGTTTGATAATAGATGACATTTGTGATGCTATTCTCAGTTTACTTTTTCATTTGTTCTTCTGTAACAAATGAAACCTATTGGCTCTATAAATTGATTAAAAGCTCATATGTAAATATTTTTCAAAGGAAACATGCTTTTAGTTATATGAAGTCTAATTCATTTGTCCTTCTTTTTGTGGTGATGAATAAGTAGCTGATTTTTACTACTTCTAATGAGTTTTATTAGCTTTTAAAAATCTGCTAGCAGCATTGGTAATGTCTCTATCATGTTACTAGCAATGGATTATCAAAAATAGATCACAGCATTCCAATATTTTATAGTTAGTAAAATGTTTCTTTCAAAACACTTTCTTATGCACAAGAACTTAAACTTTTCTCTTTAATGGTATTGGAAATTTGTAATTGATGAGTAAAAGTAATAGAATATAGTGAAATAATTAAATATATAATATGGAGACTTTATTAGTTATTTTAATAAAAATTGCATATGATTAGGACATTTAGAACTTATTCAAGTTTTTCCCATATAACTTCCATTTTAACTTTGGAAATTTCCTCTAGAATATCAAAACAAAATCTTTGATGTCACCAATCAATTTCAGGAATGTTCAGAATGGTATGAGACTAAGAAGCAATGTCGTATAATATGCACGTTCCAGTAAAAGTTCAGTAAAAAACAAATTTTTCAGTTGTGGAGAAAATTGTAGACCTATCCACATGAAAACAGCTGAAGTTAGTTTCTTGCTTAATATTTACATTAACATTTCTATTGCCATCCTAAAACTTGTGGAAATTATACAACAAGCCCAGCTAGATTCACATTTGCCAGAAGTCTTTTGTCAAAAAGAATGTGTGCATTCCTTGTCTCTGTTTCCCAAGTGGGTCTGTAGCTGTTGTGAAATCTCAGCATCTTGTATTTATCTGCTATGAGCTGAAACCCTCTGCTTCATCCTCTCTAGTGTAGTCAGTAGGTTGTGGAGAAATAAAGGGAGTGGGTGGCCTAGTTCACATTGTATCATTTTCTCCCTAGCAAAGGGTGACCTTCCCCATGTCCCACTGTCATGTGCCAATAATGTCCTCCTGTTTAGGAACAGAATTTTTAAACATTTTCTAAAATAAAATAGAACATGAATTTTTATAATGTAACATATCAGCTATGAGAATTGTAAGTCATAAGTCACCGTTCTTTTTGTTCTGGGTTGGTGAATTGTTACAAGTTTTGTCACTAAGATAAAAACAAAAAGAAAAACCTACTCCATCTCTTAGATTTATAGATGAAGCACTGCCAGTACTGACTGTGATATTCTCAAGAAATCTCTGGGCGTAATGAGCATTGCTTAAGTGTAGTTAGGTGGGTTGGGTTTGATCTTCTGCTCTTAAACCTCAAGTGCATCCATGGGCATTGAAAACAGTCTGAGCACTGGTGCAAGAGAGTACTAAATCTTTAGTTCATACTCCAGCTCCTAACACCACATGCCACAAGTTTCTAAGGAAAATATTGTTTTTTCTGGATTCTATTTTCTGTTTATTGTGCAGCATCACTGGTCAATGTAACTGCATAACAAGATTCTAAAGGGATTTTCATCCAAATACAGAAGGTAAGCAGAAATGGTCAGTGAAGCATACATGCTTGCAAACTGCTATATGGGCCCCGGAAAGGACTCCATAAACAGTTGTATAGATTTAAGTTTTATGTCATAGAATAGTCCTTGAAGTCTCTGGGGTTTTTCTCAGAAGAAAATGAAAAGGCAAACACATTGTCACTTTCATGAAAGAAGATTTCCTTCTGCATGTAAATTCCAACCCTGTAAATTTGTGGGCTCTCAGCCAGTTAATCAGCCAAGGACATTTTTTGAGGACTTTCTATGTATAGAATACTGAATTAAGCCATAAATCAGACCTGTTTGGGGCTAGATTTTTTTCCCTTGCTTACAAAAAATTTACCAGTTAGATACTATATCATGTCAAGTACCCTAAATCATTCCATGAATCTCAGGAAGCTTTGGGAAAATGGGAAATTTTGTGGATGATGGGTCTGTTCACATCCTAAATAGCTACTACAGAATGATAGTTACAACAAAACAGTTTATTTATTTAACATGACATGAAAACCCATTGTTATGTTATTAAACACTATAGGAATTGCAGGAATTCAAATAAAATATCTGAAACATTTGACCTAATGAGACTATTTCTTTCTTAATCTTGACTTTTAAAAAAGGCATTTAGAGCCACTGGGTGAGCTCAGGTTTCCTGTTTGCCCCAGGCTTCAAAAGGCTGACTCCAAGGCAGGGTCGCTGTTACCCTCCAGAAGATATATGGGCCGGGAACTTTCTCTTGTCCATTGTATCTTTTTAAAAAAATTTGTATTGTTGTTCAGTTGCAGTTGTCCCCATTTTCCTGTTGCTCTCCCCTGCCCCGTCCACCCCCTATTCCCAAAGACAGTCCCTTCCCGGTTGTCCTTATCCATGGGTCCTTTGTACATGTTCCCTTTCTTATCTGGGCCATCACCTTTCCAATACCATTCTGCTCTCAACAACAACAACAAAAAGTGAGTGATATATGATAAAGATGCTTTGCTCACATAATGGAGAAAAGACAAACTCGTTAGGTGATGGTATTGGAACCTTAGCTCACTATATGGAGAAAAATTCCTACACTGCGTGATAGAAAAAGTCGGACTGCAGGGAGATTAAAGATGGACTCATCTATTGTAAGGCCAATAGAACTAAATGTTAGTGAGAGGCTGTACTTCTTAAATATAACCCTAAAATAACTTTTTTAAAACATCAGTTAAGAAATGATATCTCTGACTATATTTTCTAGTCCATAAACAGCACCTTAAACAAAGGGAATAAGCTGGTGGCAGAATGGAGTAGCTTTTAGCAATGTGTAAAATTGATGACATTAATATAGAAACAATATTAGAAACTGCAAATCAAGAAGTAGAAAACAGGAATCTTAATATAAAAATGAACAAAGAGTAAGAATGTGGTCTACAAAAGGAAATGTTAAGTAGCTAGTAAGATAGAGAGTGATGTTCTAATTTACTAGTAGCTAAGAAATAAAAAATAAAAGGAGATATTATATTGGCAAGAATTTGTAAGACCATTAATTCTAAATGCTGGTGGAAGTGTAAACTATAAACTGATTGAACCATTTTGGAAAGCAGTCTGGAAGTACTGAGTTAGTCAAATTAATTATTTATCTGCCCTGTGGCCCAGCAATCCCACTTTTTACATATATGCCCCTGAGAACTTCTGGTAGAGGGGTCCGCAGGACACTGACACTAAGATGCTGATTTCACTACTGTTTGTGGTAGCAGGAAGTTGGGTGCACCGGTGTCCATCTCTGAGGGAGTGAATGTGTTAACTCTGACAAATACGTAGTATGGAATACCTGGTAGCCGTTAGAAGCAACTTATTGGATGTGTATAGAGCAGCTAGGATAGATCCTTAAAATATAGCATAAAGGAGAAAATAATCTGCAGCATAGTGCCACATAAATACATTAAAGTCGATTCAGACATATGTACATACATACATATACATATTCAAGAACATATGTTAAACACTAGAAGAGTGCCCATTTAGGAGCAGGCAGTGGGAGTGGTTTTAGGGATAAAGGGGAAAATAAATAGTAGCACAAGAAAAGGGCCTGCAGAGACAATGGCTACTGAGTATACCATGAACGAAGACCCTAATGATGAAGTCAACTGTCAAAATGAGGCAAAATGAAAATAGCATATGCTAGTTTGAAAGAGCAGAAGTTTTAAAACAGCATCAAAATAAAATTTCTATTTTCCAAAACGATAGGACAGATGTCCTGCAGTAAAAAAGTAGTAGTGCTAAGGAGGTTAATTACAGAAGAGCGGAGAGGTACTACAAATGAGCAAGAGAAGAAAACACATACTATATGGAAATGAACATTTATGTTATGCCAGCACTATGTAGGGTACTTTATATATTGCATTATGTTTAATAGAGCAAGCCTTTGGATATAAGAGTTCTGTCCAGAATGTAGCTGGCCATGTAATATGAAAAATAGAGACATTTACTGAAGAAGATACAAGATACAAGAAACATTGTACACAGGACAGTGACACTTCAGTCCCCTTCAAAGTAGGCACCTTGGGACTTCACATAGTTCTCCCATTCACCATCAGCTGCCCCACCATATTTTCCTGAATGTCACTGGAGGCCTGAAATCTCTTCCTTTCCAAAGGTGATTTTAGTTTTGGGAAAAGCCAGAAGTTGCAGGATGGCAAATCTAGGATGTAGTGGGGCTGAGTCACCTGGGTAATTTGATGTTTCACCAAAAAACTCTGCATGAGACATGGTGCATGAGTGGGTGCATTGTTGTGATGAAGCTGCTAACCACCAGTTGCCCATAGCTGTGGCCTTCTGATTCGTCCAAATAATTTCCATGGAGAAACATTCAAGATTAATGCAAAATTTGATGTAGATTAGTTGCTCTACTCGGTCAGTCATTTTGAATGTGACGGCCCCACAGTACACATGGTCACTCAATGACGTCTACCACCCCCACTGACTAGCATAGCGAAGTTGTCATTGCTCACACATGTGCATCCACTCCACTGTCCTTGGCTGCCAGGTTATACTGATGTCACACAAATGTTCTTGTGTTAGTTATGACTGGACTTTTTCTGGACAGGCCTCATATTCTTATCCATACATAAAATAGTCTTACTACCACAAAAATATGGAAGCTTAGGTTTAGGTGGGTGAGTAACTTCTGTAAGGTTACATTATAAGACCAGAACTAGCATTCAGACTGACACCTGTCTGGCTCTACTGCCACATGCACACCCATGAAACCAGCTCTGTATAAATGATGTGCATTCCATTGCCCCAAAATGTTTTCATGTGCTGCTTTCACTCAGCATAAGATCCATTCATGTTGTTTGTATATCATGAGTTTATTATTTTATTTGCTGAGTAGAATTCTATCATATGAATTCACCACAATTTGTTTATCCATGCACCTGTTGATTCACATTTCAGTTGTCTCCAGTTATTGGCTATTACAAATACAGCTCTCATGGACATTTAGGTA